TTTGTTTGTCTTCATTTGTATGATTCGGAGTTTAACTTGGCGTCCCTTTTGCTGAATAAGTATACATTTTTGATTAGGGGTCAACTGAAGCCAGCCTCCGCAATGAATATTTTAATGTTACCTTTAACACATTTATAGCTTATTAATATGAAAATAAGAAGATGTTGTATGATTAAGCCTAGTTAATTAATTTTTCCATTCAATAAATATATATTTTAATTTTATATATTTTATTTGTTGTGGGACCGGACTTTTGTTCTTTATATATATACGACAACAGAGTTTGCGTACGTTGGTTCGATTTCCACCCTAGGCATTTATTTATATCAGTGGCTCCGTGACGACTCTATTGTTCCTGTCCTAAAAATTCAGTTGGCCGCTGCTAATAGATATAAGAAGATGTGGTATGAGTGCCAATGAGACAACTCTCCATCCAAGTCACAATTTGTACAAGTAAACCATTATAGGTCAAAGTACGGGCTTCAACACGGAGTCTTGGCTCACACCGAACAGCATGCTATAAAAGTCCCAAAAAATGACTAGTGTAAAACCATTCAAACAGGAAAACCAACGGTCTAATCTATATAAAAAACGAAAAAAGAGAAACACTGATGAACCACATCAACAAACGACAACCACTGAACATCAGGTTCCTGACTTAGGACAGTTGCAAACAAATGCAGCGGGTTTAAACATTTTAATAGGCGCAAACCTTCACCCTACCTGAAACAATAGTGTAACATCACAACATAAAAAGACACACTATAAAATATCAATTAAAATGGCTTAACTCAATCAAAAGACATATTAACAAAAACAAGTGAACATACACTGAACGGAAAAGTTTGATCTATGACACAATGTAAATACAAAATAAATAAAACAAGGGGGTTAGATGTAAACCAATATCAGAACCATAACCTTGTACAAAATGCCGCCAAATAAAATAACGTACACAGGTAAATGAAAATAATTTTGTTGTAAGATATACATGGAGTACGGAAATAATTTTGTTGTAAAATATACATGGAGTACGGAAATAATTTTTACAAAACAAATAATTTTGTTGTTCCTAGTACGAGAACAAAAGTGATTATTTGTCGTCATACTAAACACTTATCTAAGGTGGTATATATTAAAAATAATGAGAATAGATATAACACTGAATAAGTAAAAATTAAATAACAATAATACATTACAAATTGTATCAACAGGTCAAATTAACACGAAAGTACGATTTGAGAGTACTCGCAGTTACTGAAAGCTAGTTAAAAGCCAAAAACAATTAATAATAAAAAATTCATGCATCAGAGACTAAAATCAACTAAAACACATACCAGGGATTTAGTGTTTTAACGTCATGGACAGTCAAAGAAGACATGACTTGTGCAATGCCAAAATAAAAGTATCGACAGGCAGTAGGATAGTTATAAGTTAACCGGTTAATAAATATGTATAATGTAATATAAAGATAGAGTAATCTCTATATAGAAAATGAACGTTGATGTGTATTTATATATCCCAAAAAACTGTTTGAAAAGAATACAAATTTAGTTATGTTTTAATATGCTGATGACACAATCGATATTTGTGCCAATGTAAACTATATTCAAACAACCAATTATAACATTGGTAAGATAACCTTTACTAATAAGTGTGTTTAAAGATTCGATGAGTTTACACGGATCACATAGTGATTTCCGCGCTTTAAGTACAATATATCCTTAAAATTTAGGATGTGAAATACCGTTTTAATAAGTTTTCTACAGGTACAGCCAAATTTACTATTTAGTAAAATTTTGAGCAATTTATGGAAACGAAATCCCTGACATAATTATTTACCAGTGATGCATTGATTACGTTCGTTAAATTCTATGACATCACTACACACACGGGCATAACGAACGAGTTAGGATATATAAACACCGTATGATGGAGCCAAAGGAACATCTCCGTCAAAAAAGGGAAAATTAACAATAGGGAATGAAAAATCGTCTCTTTTGTCGTATATTTTAGTACGGAGTTTCCCTTTAAAAATTGAAATGTCTAAATCTAGAAAAGGATAACTACTGCTGTTAGATTTATTAAAAGTAAGTTCCTTTGGGTAAATTTCGGTAGTATATTTAGAGAACTCTGGATTATTTAACGAAAAAATATCATCAAGATAACGGTAGGTATTGTTGAATGTACCAACCAAATGTAACAATGACGTATTTTTACTGAGTTTGGTCATAAACTGAGATTCATAGCAAAACAGGAATAAATCTGCTATTAAAGGGGAACAGTTAGTGCCCATAGGAATACCTCCTACATGTCGATACATTTTATCGCCGAAACGTACATATATGTTGTCCAGGAGACAATTTAAAGCTTCAATCATATCTTCACATTTCCAGTAAGTGTATCTAGCATACTTTCCTTTTTCGTTACAGAAAACTTTAAAGGAGTAACAGCAAATAAATTTGCCATGATAATTTTCAAAAGACCATTTAATTAAATACGAAAACTGTTTTTGATATGAATGTGTGGAAGTGTAGTGTAGAGAGTAGAAAAATCATAACTGTCAACAGAATTAAAAGGACCATCAAAAGCACGTATTTTATCTATAACCTCTAATAAATTTTTAATACTCTAAAAATAATTAATACCATTATTTTCATAAGCTTTATTACAAAAGTTAATAACAAGTTCTTTGATAGAAGTAAGGGTGGTAGTTAGAAGCACTGACAGATTAGTAGTAGAACACTTACTAGATGCGGAGATGAAACGGAATTTAAATGGTTGTTTGTGTAATTTAGGTAACCAGTACTTAGTCGGGACTTTCAAATGTTCAAAAGAGGCTTAAAGCTGGGTAGTGGCAGTGATATGCTTGTTTACAATTTGACTCTCTGTGGAGCGTACGGACCTGAATGTAGACGAATTGATATTGATATGCGTCACACCACCACTGCATTATTGGCTTATTTGTCTTCCGGTACGAACACAAACCGCTTTGCGAGTACTTGGAGTTTATTTTTTATTCTAGAAATGGGTATATCATGCTTTCTTCCTTCTTTTTTCAGAAGTTCAGATATAACTATAGGTATAATCGTGGAAATTAAACCATACATAGGTATGGTATAATTTACGGTTATTGAGATTGATACACTGGTCGCATCCCCATAGACTCCTTTGTTCAGCTCTAAGTTAAAACTATGTACAACTGTCTCTGTTATTATTTTTCATTTAATGTTTGTTCAGTGTATAGCATTCTTGTACATATAAGAGTGTTAAACCCATTTTGAAGTAATTGAGCTTGCTTAAATAGCTGTGAGCAAACTTTGAAACGATATATATTTCTGTTGTACATGTAATTATGTTATCTAATACACCGTTATTATAGAGTGAAGTCCTATCTTGTACTGATTTGTATGTTTGTTCTACAAAGTGCCTTCCCTTATTCCACTGATGGATATTAAAAGGTAGGAGGCGTCCGCTCACGAAAACTGTTTAAATGCTGTCACATGTGCATGTGTCTATTCGAAGTCAGGAACATCGTCAATGGTTGTACAAGGTCAGATGTTATAGTCATTTTCAGGAGCAGATGTGCCAGACTATAATATTAACGATTTTGCAATAAAGTTTGGAAGAAAATTCCAACAAGCGGAAGACTGAATCTCTTTTTTATCTTTATTTTGATTCAAATTGTACATAATCATCATTAGTGGATCAAATGTAAATAACTATAAAAGTAAGGAAGTGTGGTATAATTGCCAATTAAAGAACGATCCAACAGAGTGAAACCCATACTGTATTGTAAACTATAAAAATGACAAAAGGTGCTAAATTTGAAACTATCGAATATCGACAAATTTTCGCGAGTGTCAAATTTTGGTTTTTTTCACGGTTGACATTTTAACGCAAAAAATATACCTTACGCGAACATTTCACTGTTCATTTGATAGCATTTTACAAGGCCTTAAATTGCAATATTTGAAGCGAACGAACATTTAGCTCTCCAACCCTAAGCCAAAACCGCAACCAAAACCATACGACAAAATAACCCCATATAAAATCTGCAATTTACAGAAAAATTAGGTCAAGCAGTCTGAAATGTACCCCATGCATTGATGATCGAAATAGAATTTCTTTATGTCCAGTCAGAGAATAGTTAGATAAGGATGTTTTTGTCAGGACAGTCCTATGAGGCGTACAATTGAAGGTAATAGAACTTTGGTTGTATTCCAAGTATTTTAAGAATGTTCGTTTTTATTAATCTGTATGAAGTTGCAAAAATAATTACCGAAGATAAGAGAATATATGAAAAATTAATATATGTATATGTACGAAAAGTGTATCGTGAAACAGATACACATTTAATTTCATTACTTTTGATAAAGAGATGATATTAAGGGAGAAAGCAGGTTGTAGAATTCAGGATTCATTCCTTTGTTCACATTATTTAACCAGAAGATGTGGTATATTTCTGTTTGACAATGAAATACCTGGCATTTAAATACAAATGACTAGTGTCAAGAACTAAAGGTTACCGTTCATGCTTCAAAAATGAGCAAATATCATTCAGTATAGTAAGTTATATATGTTTTGTAGAACTTATATGCAATACCATCTTACAAATACGAAACTGTAGGTAATACAAAAACATACACGGAAAAAGACCAACACAGTTCACGAAGCAATGCAATACATTACAGAGCTGTAGTATGAGATCATATAAATACTTTCTTTAAAGTCAATAGAATATAGTGAAATTTAATTTCATTTGAAATGTCAAAATATATCGTTACGCTATCGTATGTATTTCTACACGCTATTTCAAAATTAAAATAAATATTGATCAATTCATGATATAAGATATAATGAAGATACTGCATTAACGCATCGACAAATTCCTGGAAGTCAAAAAGGTAAAAATATGTTCTTTGAAAATGTGTTAGTTTATTCATAGCCCTGTTATTTTGATTTGTTATGTATTTTTTTAATCACTAGTACTTGATTTTCAGAATGCCCACAAACAGCTTTGCCATTACCATTGTTGCCTTTGTAGTCAGTGTGTATGGACATGATTGCACAAAATACAGCCTGACACCATCAGACCAATCTCTTATTGATATGATGAAGCATTACTTGCATACCTCCCGGAAAGCGGACTGTCCTGTAACACCTTCACAACAGGGTAAGTCTTTCAGCATTCAATTTGCCTTTGTGATTGCATGAATTGACAATTTATTTGTAAAGTAATGAGACAGTAGTTAACAAATTGTTAAATATCGTTAATATATATAAAAAAGATACAAATCAAGATAACAAACAAAAAAGTATAACAAAAATACCAAACTTCAAGGCAAATTCTAAAAGGGGAAGTAAAAAAAAACCGCTATCAATCAACGGAACAAGTGAAAAACAATTGCCATATCCCTAACAACAGAGATTCGCAGAACTCCAAAAGGAGAGAGACCGTATGTGTCGACAAGGTAAGATTCTCCTGTTATCGCGCGCCATTCAAATCCACTCTCAATCAAAATGTCATAATCGGGAATAGGGCACAATCGATAAAGTTACAGATCAGACGACTATACTGGTATGTAAAAAAAGCAAAAACATTTAATATTCTTTCAATCGAAACTGTAATTAATAACATTTTTTTTCTGTATATGTTTATTAAAACAAAACTTGTATTTCTTCAATGAAAATGATTATTTAAGTGATAATTTAAATCCACACTAAAAATTTCTTTACCAACTGTACATGCTGTATTTGCATTAAATCATAATTGTAAACAATAACCTGTGACTAACACGTTACATGTAAGCCGTCCGGTACTTTCAGCAACATATTGTATACGCTGGACTAAGCTTTTTTTGTTATTCATCTTTAATACGGTTTCATACTGTAAATCAACGCTTTGTTGCGTATATTTAAGAGATTGGTGTGACATATGTCAGATGGGGGAAGAAAACTTTGTCCTGAAAATTCGGACATTGTGTATACGGGTATGTTTTTTTCATTTTTATTATCCTTTTTAGTCAATTGGAGTCTAAAAGTTTCTACATATGGATGAAAGCGCTAGGCAGTAAAATACAGTTTAACTCGCTTGCTACTGTTTTTTTCTTTTTCTTTTATGAATATTTGATAAATATATAATTCTGTGCTTGCAAATTAAATTTTTTACCCATATATATTCATGTACATTTTAGAAATGTTAAAAAACTTGTTATGTTTTATCTCATTAGTTTGCTTTCTCAGTTACAATTACAAAAAATTTCATAAAAAATAATCTAGTTCCCCCAGAGAAACCTGGTATTCGTTGAAAAATAACTTGTTTTGTACCAATATGTTTTAGATTTTAGTTAATCTAAATATTTGACATAGCTAGGGTCCGGATATGGTTGAATTTATTGAAAAGGATACTTTTAAAAATAAAACATTTGCTAATGCCTGCGAAGCAATCTACAACACAGATTCAAGGTCGAACTTATTGTCTCTACTACTGGCATGTTAATACCTGAAATTGGTTTGGGATATCTTTGCCATTGTAACGTACAAATGGATAATCTAAATAGTAACATTTGTAATAAGAAAATTACCTTAAATTTCTTCAGGACAGGCTGGAGGTAACTTTTACAATAACAAAGGAGGAGGTTCGAACTACCTCTGTTTACCCAGTGACCCTGAAAATGGTAAAGCATACTCCTATGGTAATGATGGACTATATGGTGCCGAGTATGAGATAAATTCCAATAGTAAACCATCAGGTTTACCTGTTAGTTTGTATGAAAAAGAGGTCCTATGTTCTGTGTGCAGGCGGAAGGGGAAAGTTTCTGTTTTAATGATAGCAGGTACTCTTTTATCAATATTTATTTTGGTTATTATTTAGAAATTTATAAGAAATATTCTAAAATTATAGGATATTGGTAACCTATTGGTTGTATGATATTGTTGATTATAAGGTTCAACCTAAATTAATCTTGAAGGCAAATGCTTTAAACAATGCATTATTCTGTGTTATCGCTATCATTGATTGAATTCTCTTTTGGTTGAGGCATGTACTCTATTTCTTACACGTAAAGATATTTCTCGTATCACACTACAGTGAATGAGATACGAAAAATGCGTAACTTTGATTTGCTTATCCAGCATTATGACACATATTGCGATATTTCCATTGGTTATTCATTATGTTATAGATGCATTGAAGAAGTCAAAGCGAAGTACATTTTCTAAATGGCAACGGAGATGTGTGATTTCTTCAATAATATACAAAACACTCACACTTTTCAATTGAAAATCTAATTTGGTCAAATTTCATTTTAATCTGAAGCTTACACAAACTTTAACTATTTCTGATGTTAAAGTTTGACGCCGGAACTTGATACAATATGATGTCATACTGGTATGTGCAAAAGACCAGATAAACGAGCCGGGCTTTTCTATTTAACACAAACAGAAATTTACCATTACAATAATAGGTTTGACAACTCGTAAGCATTGAATATCGTTTGGTATAAGCTATGGTTATTTGATTTAAATAGTAACAATAAACTCACCGAAAGGCTCGTTTATTTTTATATTGAAATTAAATAAATCGAGTTGATATCAAAAGATATCCAATTTTCGTTTTTATGAAACCTATAAGTATAAAGTTTAAATGTGTTTTAATATAGAAATTGCATATTTTTTATTCTATTTTTTATTTTTACTTTTATCGAAACTTAGGAAGGAAGTCCTGTTACAAAGGATGGAAATCTGAGTACATTGGCTTCTTGGTGAGTCAAGATAAGGGTTATAACAGTGTAGACTATATCTGTATGGACGGAGATGCTGAGCTTTTGGACAATCGATCATCCAACGAAAACGATGTTTTGGTTTATCCTATCAGAGCGAAATGTGGTAGTCTGAGATGTCCCCCATACAAAGATAATACTGAAGTGCTTTGTACCGTTTGTACAAAATAAAAATAATATAAGGCTTTCGTTTGCTCACTTATTTCCTATGTTTACTTTACATGGTATTCTACTGTACTCATATTTAACGTCAAACGTAAATAACAGGTTAATATGTTATATGATATAAGTTTGTGTTTGCCTGTTTGTTGATATTGAGGATAACAAGTAATGATTCTTCTGTTATTCTCATTTTTTATGAGAGGTACTCGGACAGGCATATCAAGTTGTTTTATTATTGTTTAGATTTTTCTCTTGGGTATGTAATGATTAAAAAAAAATATCCCCATTTTACAACATAGTAGATTCAATATCTCACTTTCGTTATGTTTTAAGGGGCATCGGTGGTCGATTGGTCTAAGTAGTCGAAATACTGTAAAACAAGCCTGTCAACATTTAGGTTGTGAGTTCGAATCCGGCACGTGGCAGGTGGCTTCGACTCCAATCTTAATTGACTAGGATTGTCAGTTTTCCTACCGAAGGTCGGTGGTTTTTTACGGGCCAATAGAAGCTGACTGCCACAAAATAACACAATAATGCTGAAAGTGGCATTAAACACCAATCAAGCAATCAATCAATCGTAAAGTTTTCCAATATCTATTCATCAAACTTCAAACTAATGACTTAATTCTGAAAATAATACTTTATACATTTCGTGCGTCGGGAAACGCGTTAGGGATTTACCTTCATCAGGAATGCTCAAACCCAGGCATTTGAAAGCCAGAGACGTATAAATACGCAAAAACACTAGGAGCTTTATAAAGGTACATAAAAAGAATAGCCATATTCGGATAAGGTACGTCAACTTTGTCTGAAGTAGTTGAAGACTTACTTTCTCAGTAATTTCTCTTTTCATCAATGGATAATTTAAGAAGAAAAAACATGTTATAAATCATGTAAGTACCGAAGAATTGACTACTGAGCTGATGAGATCTTCGGGGACTAACATTCAACCAGCAGTGGTATCAACCCAGTGATAGTAATTGAACTTTATCACAATCTTTATACCTGAACAGTGAACAAATAGATGGTTTTCATTTTTGTTTGCAATCTTCCTAGAAAAGAAAGAGGTTTTTATGCTTCCCTATACAATTCAGTACCATATAATAAGCGCTTTGTCGTCTGTTTGTCCCTGCCGTCCGAGTGTCCGAAAGAAACGTTTTTTTTTAACTTAAGTATTCCTTGCTTGTTTTAAATGAAACGTATACAGATAGAAGAAAAAGAAAAGAAAAAGAAGCCTTTTGCTTTAAGGGTTAATAAGTCAAGGTTATTACAGAAATTTTGTTGGGAAAAATTGTTTCCGGTTGGTAACTTGCGTTTCCCTGGCTTTATTGGAATGAAACTTATAGCAGCTCTTCAACTGTTTCGGTTCTTATACATCCTTGGCTTTCAAATATTCAGCTCCAAGCGTTCCTGATAAAGGTAAATCCAAAAAAGCGCGTCGGACGCATGAAATTTATAACGTGTTGTTTTCATTTAAACAGATTGAAGATATAGGGGGTGGAAAAAAGCCTATTGAATTTTTAGGGCAAGAGGTCAAAGGTTAACGGCAATATTATTTGAAATAGAGAAATATGGTTTATGTACTTTGTCTATAGAGTGTCTATATGCCATTTTGTTTTTCTTTGTTGATATAGTTATTTGTTTTTATAGTGATTAAGATTATAACACAATGTTAACTGCTGTACCCCAATTTTTGACATTTTTACCTATTATGTCTGTTTGTTTTGCTCACACATTGTTCTTGTTGTTGTCAATATAATGGAATTCTATGCGGCTGCCAAACTGAGAGGTTTAGCTAGCTATAAAACCAGATTTAATCCACCATTTTCTACATAAGGATATAGCTGTACCAAGTCAGGAATGTGACAGTTGTTTTCCATTCGTTTGAAATGTTTGAGCTTTCGATTTTGCCATTTTATAAAGGACTTTCCGTTTTGAATTTTCCTCGGAGTTCGGTAGTTTTGTTATTTTACTTTTTTTCCGTATGGTAATTTGATCTTCTGCACGATTGGAATTAAACTAATACAGATGGAAGCTATAGGGAAAGAAAAGAAACCTATTGATTTTGGAAGGAACACATATCAAAGGTCAGGGTCACTGTAACTAACATAAAATAGCTAATGAATTTCCGGATGGTATCACACTATGAATTGTAACAATATTTAAACAGGTGAAAAATGAGCAATAAAAGTACATTGTCTCTCAAACTTTACTGGTTTTTTGAAACCTT